GTCTTTAGACCATTATATGGCAAAAAATGGCATAAAAAAAAGTCTGATGGCCGGGCACGGTGGCACACGCCTGTAATCCCAGAACTTTGGGAGGCCAAGGTGGGCAGATTGCCTGAGCTCAGGAGTTCGAAACCAGGCTGGGTAACATGGTGAAACCCCATCTCTACAAAAAACACAAAAATTAGCCGGGCATGGTGGCACTTGTCTGTGATCCCGGCTACTTGGGAGGCTGAAGGAGAAGAATCGCTTAAACTCAGAGGGCGGAGGTTGCAGTGAGCCGAGATTGTGCCACTACATGCCAGCCTGGGTGACAGAGTGAGATTTCGTCTCAAAAAAGAAAAAAAAAAAAAGTCTCAAATAACATGATGAAAGTATCACATGGGAATTATTCTGGAAAGCAATTTAGAAATCTGTACCAAGGCCTTAAAAATGTTCATACCCTTTAACCCAGTAATCTGACATCCTCAGTAAAAAGAAGAAATGATGAGACATTTGAGGCATAGAGGCAATATAAGAATTGTTCATTGCAATATTAATTATAATAGCAGAATTCAAAAGGCACATATATAAATTATGCCACATCCATTCATTTTATGAAATATCATGCAGCCTGTTACAAAGACTATTTACTGTCAGAGGAAATGAGTACAACACTTACAAGGTAAGTGTGTAAAAGTCACAGAAAGAGAATGTGCCAAAATACTAACATCAGTTACTGAAGGAGGTAACGGTATTTTTTTTTTTTTTTTTTTTTTTGGGAAACAGACCTTTGCTCTGTCGCCCAGGCTGGAGCGCAGTAGTGCGATCTCTGCTCAATGCAAGCTCCGCCTCCTGAGTTCACGCCATTCTCCTGCCTCAGCCTCCTGAGTAGCTGGGACTACAGGCACCTGCCATCACACCCAGCTAATTTTTTTTGTATTTTTTAGTAGAGACGGGGTTTCACTGTGTTAGCCAGGATGGTCTCCATCTCCTGACCTTGTGATCTGCCTGCCTTGGCCTCCCAAAGTGCTGGGATTGCAGGAGTGAGCTACCGCCCCTTTTTCACTTTTTGAGACAGAGTCTCGCTGTGTCACCTAGGATAGAGTGCAGTGGCACAATCTCGGCTCACTGTAACCTCCACCTCTGGGTTCAAACAATTCTCCTGCCTCAGCCTCCAAAGTAGCTGCAATTACAGGTGTGTGCCGCCATGCCCGACTAATTTTTTTGTATTTTTAGGAGAGACAGGCTTTCGCCATGTTGGCCAGGCTGGTATTGAACTCATGGCCTCAAATGATCTGCTTGCCTCAGCCTCCAAAAGTGCTGGGATTACAGACATGAGCCACTACACCTGGCCATGTATGCTTTCTTTTAATTTTGATATTTCTTTTTTTTGTTTGTTCTTTTGAGATAGAGTTTCACTCTGTCATCCAGGTTGGAGTGCAGTGGGGTGATCTCAGCTCACTGCTAACTCCACCTCCTGGGTTCAAGCGATTCTCCTGTTTCAGCCTCCTGAGTAGCTGGGATTACAGGGGCTCGCCATCATGCCCAGCTAATTTTTGTATTTTTAGTGGCGACGGGGTTTCGTCACATTGGCCAGGCTGGTCTTGAACTCCTGACCCTCCTGACCTCAGGTGATCTGCTCGCCTCAGCCTCCCAAAGTGCTGGGATTAGAGGTGTGAGCCATTGTGCCCGGCCAATTTAGATATTTCTTAAAATAAAATTTCCAGAATATTAGTTTTTCTAATTAAGTAGATTTAAGTTATTTTTTATTTATTTGAGACAGAGTTTCACTCTTTTTGCCAAGGCTAGAGTGCAGTGGCAAGATCTCAGCTCACCACAACCTCTGTCTCCCTGATTCTCCTGCCTCAGCCTCCCAACTAGCTGGGATTACAGGCATGTGCCACCACGCCCGGCTATTTTTTTGTGATTTTAGTAGAGATGGGGTTTCTCCATGTTGGTCAGGCTGGTCTTGAACTCCTGACCTCAGGTGATTCGCCTGCCTCCGCCTCCCAAAGTGCTGGGATTACAGGTGTGAGCCACCGCGCCTGGCCTTAGATTTAAGTTATTTTTTACATTAACTAGATAATTGGTGATATAGAATTACAATTAATTATCATGATTATTTTATGACAATAGCATTTAACTATGTTAAAAAAAAGTTCATATATTTTAGAGACATATATTAAAATGGTTATACAACAAATGATATGATGATTGAGATTTGTTACAAAATAATCCAAACTTGTAGGTGGGACAGTGGAAAGAATGGGAGATGGGAGTATTATAAAACGAGACTGGGCCAGGTGCAGTGGCTCATGCCTGTAATCCCAGCACTTTGGGAGGCCGAGGCAGGTGGATCACTTGAGGTCAGGAGTTTAAGACCAGCCTGGGCAACATGGTGAAACCCTGTGTCTACTAAAAATATATGAATTAGCTGGGCATGGTGGTGTGCACCTGTAATCCCAGCTACGTGGGAGGCTGAAGTGGGAGAATTGCTTGAACCCAGGAGGCAGAGGTTGCAGTGAGCAGAAATTGTGCCAATGCACTCCAGTCTGGGCAACAGAGCAAGACTCCACCTCAAAAAAAAAAAAAAAAAGCAGGATTGGCCGTGTGCTAGTATTTGTTGAATCTGGGTGATAAACAAGAGTTCATTATGCTAGTTTTTCTACTTTTGTATAAATTTGGAGTTTATTATAATAAAAAAGTTAATTTTGAAACTTAAAAGTAAAAAGCACTAATAAGCACTACTTTGAAATTTAACATATAATTAGCCATTAATCTATGCTGAATAAAGACTAGAAATATCTCACATTAAGAGGATGTCAGCTGATCAGAATTTTCCTTCATCTACTTCTGAGTTGTGACTTAAAAACAAAACAGAAAAAAAGGTAAATATTTTCTTCATTATACCATCAAATGTAAAATGAGCCAATATTTTTAGGTGCTGCTAATATACTGTCAATTATGATTGTAAGATACTTCTCAATTTCAGAGACGTTGAAATGTGAAACTATGTGCATCTTAGAATGGATGAAATACAGCAATGGCAGGTCAGATTCAGCTATGAGTCTTTTGTTTTCTGACCTAGGATCAGCGGGTCTGATTATTTATCTTGTAATTTTTAACATGGAGTTTTCTTTTTCTTTTTTTTTTTGAGACGAGGTCTCGCTCTTGTCCCCAGGCTGGAGTGCAGTGGCACAATCTCAGCTCACTGCAACTTCTGCCTCCCGGATTCAAGCGATTCTCTGGCCTCAGCCTCCCGAGTAGCTGGGATTATAGACACCCACCACCACGCCCAGCTAATTTTTGTTTTGGTTTTTTTAAGACGGAGTTTCACTCTTGTTGCCCAGGCTGGAGAGCAATGGTGCGATCTCAGCTCACCACAACCTCCGCCTCCCGGGTTCAAGCGATTCTCCTGCCTCCCAAAAACTCACTCCCAAAAACCCGCCTTGGCCTCCCAAAATGGTGGGATTACAGGCGTAAGCCACTGCGCCCAGCCTTTTCTTTTTCTTTTTTTAAAAAAGTGGGGGACAAAAGTCTGAATGATAGTTACTTGAAAAGAATGTATTTTCTTTTTTTTTTTTTTTTTGAGACGGAGTCTGGCTCTGTTGCCCAGGCTGGAGTGCAGTGGCCGGATCTCAGCTCACTGCAAGCTCCGCCTCCCGGATTTACGCCATTCTCCTGCCTCAGCCTCCCGAGTAGCTGGGACTACAGGCGCCGCCACCACGCCCGGCTAGTTTTTTGTATTTTTAGTAGAGACGGGGTTTCACTGTGTTAGCCAGGATGGTCTCGATCTCCTGACCTCGTGATCCGCCCGTCTCGGCCTCCCAAAGTGCTGGGATTACAGGCTTGAGCCACCGCGCTCAGCCAAGAATGTATTTTCATACAGTGGAATTCCTATTTCATACAATGGTGGGATTACAGGCGTAAGCCACTGCGCCCAGCCTTTTCTTTTTCTTTTTTTTAAAAAAGTGGGGGACAAAAGTCTGAATGATAGTTACTTGAAAAGAATGTATTTTCATACAGTGGAATTCCTATTTCATACAATGGTGGGATTACAGGCGTAAGCCACTGCACCCAGCCTTTTATTTTTCTTTTTTTAAAAACGTGGGGGACAAAAGTCTGAATGATAGTTACTTGAAAAGAATGTATTTTCATACAGTGGTATTCCTATTTAGCAAGCACTTACAAGGCTGGGCACAAGGTAAAGTTTTAGGAGTTGATCCAGATTTATGGTTTGCATCCATTCTCCTGATGCTAACAGGCCTACAGGACCCCCTGCAGCAGCCATGAGCAGCTAAACGAACTACCCACGTCTACTTGGGAATGTGCTCCCATACCTCAAAAGCTGTTTTTCTTATTGATTGGTAGAGAAATTTTGCAGGGTTAATCAGGTAAGCAAGAAGCACATCCAAAGGATCAATAGGTATTCTTCTTGCCTTGTCCTAATTTCATTTTTCTTTTAATAAATGAAATTGTACAAGGTTTCCTTCACTCAGTTTCAAAAATTTATCCAGTATTGAGGCAAACTTTTTCATTAAAACTACATTTTGCTTCATGTTATTTGCTGTAAATTTTTATTTTTATTTATATATACATACATATATTTTTGGAGACAGTCTCACTGTATCAACTGGTCTGGAGTGCAGTGGTACGATCTCGGCTCACTGCAACCTCCACCTGCTGGGTTCAAGCAATTCTGGCTCAGCCTCCCAAGTAGCTGGGACTACAGGCGCACACTGCCACGCCTGGCTAATTTTTTTGTATTTTTTAGTAGAGATGGAGTTTTAGTGTGTTGCCTGGGCTGGTCTCGAACTCCTGACCTCAGGCAATCTGCCCACCTTGGCCTCCCAAAGTGCTAGGATCACAGGCGTAAGCCACCGTGCCTGTCCTATTTGCTGTAAATTTTTTAAATATGCATTCAAATATTTATAGGATTCAGGCAGTAACCATTTACAAACAGACAAAATAGCCAAAGCAAATATTAAACGTGCTACTTTAATTTGTACCAACTACTTTACTTTTCAAAGTAGGCTTCTCGTCTCTTCCGAAGCTCTTCTGAAGTAAGATTTGTACCTGATGTCTGTGGAATATCTTGAGATATATTTCTGGAACTACCTGAAAACAAAACACAACAGAACAAAAACCAATCACTGTATTTACCAATTCAAGCAACAGTATATTTGTTTATACTCATTTGAGTAAGCTTTTAAAACGTTTTTTCTTGAAGAATATTCTACTCTTCTGGCTGGGCGTGGTGGCTCGCACATGTAATCCCAGCACTTTGGGAGGCCAAGGCAGGTGGATCACCTGAGGTGAGGAGTTCAAGACCAGCCTGGCCAACAGGGCAAAACCATATCTCTACTAAAAGTACAAAAAATTAGCCAGGCATGGTGGTAGGTGCCTGTAGTCCCAGTTACTCAAGAGGCTGAGGCAGGAGAATCGCTTGAACCCGGAAGGCAGAGGTTGCAGTGAGCCAAGATCGTTCCACTCCAGGCTGGGCGACAGTGAGACTCTTAATTCAAAAAACAAAAGAAATCTAAAGCTGATTTCTGTCCCTGCTAATCCAGCAGGACTCTATTAAAAAATGGGATTAATTAAAAAGAAAAAAAAAGAAATCTAAAGCTGATTTCTGTCCCTGCTAATCCAGCAGGACTCTATTAATCAAAAATGGGATTGCACACCATATGGAGTACTCAGAGGTGTGCCTAGAGGCAAGAAAAGTTCAGGATAAAAATAATCTTCCCATTAATGGAATCTCAATTTTATCTGGACATCTAAGGAAATCAATTGATAAATAATTCCATTAGAAAGTAGAAGCAAATACACATAAGTTAGAGAAAAATAAAGCAAAAAACCCACTTCAGACTTTTAATTAAGCAACTTCGAGCTATGTCTTAACATTTTTCTTTGCCTAGACTGTCTAGGGGATATGTTTTCGCTTTTCAAATTGATAGTATATATCACTAAATAACTGAGCCCACCAAAGCGGGCTTAAGGTTTAAGTTGCATAGCCAATAAATGTTAGCTTTTTGTAAAATCAGTTTATATCCCCTGTCCAGGCCCTTCCATAGTGTCTAATGACATACATTTATGAAAGAGCTGATTTGGGTAAGGGTCAACTGATACCCACAAAGATTAACACCACAATTGACTACTGTGTTAGTACAGGTTATTGAAACCAAATAAATAACCAGGAGTAAAAATATAACTACTCCTAATAAAATATAGGTTGTAAAAAGTTATTTCCATTATAAGAAATCTAAAGGGAAAGCCCACTATATAGCTATTGCTTCTGCAGTAATTGTCAAAACACTTCTAAGAGTACATTAACTTCCAGGAAACCTAAGAATAATTGGAATCAATTCTTCAGCAATGAATACAACACACATCAGAATGTCTTTACCTTGCATACTTAGCTGAATAGCTCTGCGGAGATCTGCTTCCTCATCTTCCATGTCAATTTCTTGGCGACTTAGTGCCAGAGCCCTCTGCAAATCCTCCTCATCTTCGTCTAACATTCCTGAGCCATCATTTGCTTCTAACACTCGTTCCAGGTCTGTTTTATGGACTCTAAAGAACAAAAGCACTGGTAGTAACTGCAACCAATCTTCTATTTTAGACATAACATAAAGGCATTTGTAATGTAAAGGCTTTACGTAAGCCAAAACTTAAAACGTTTTCTGGCAAATAAGCTCTAGTAATATAATGATTGTATTGTAATTTGAATCCAACTAAGTTTTTTTCCTCCGTTTTTTTTTTTTTTTTTTTTTTTGAGACAGGGTCTAACTCTGTTGCCAAGGCTGGAGTGCGGTGGTGTGATTGTGGCTCACTGTAGTCTCGACCTCCCCAGTTTTGGGTGATCCTTCCTCCTCTGCCTCCCAAGTAGCTGGGACTACAGACACGCACCACCACATCTGGCTAATTTTTGTACTATTTGTAGAGGTGAGGTTTTGCCATGTTGCCCAGGCTGGTCTCGAACTCCTGGGTTGAAGCAATCAGCCTGCCTCGGCCTCCTGAAGTGCTAGAAATACACCATACCTGCTAACTTATTTAATATATTTAAGTATTTCAAAGAGTTGATTCAAGTTCGAACTAATAAACTTCACTAAAATGTAAGGTCCAAAATAGAGGTGCCAACAACACAAGGACCACATATTCAATGTAAGCATGAAAATTTAATTCTCATAATGAAATATCGTCATATGTTCCATACTGCAGGCCTCATTTTTACCTTTGCTCTTTCAGTTGTGCTAATTCTTCACCAATAAGTTTTGGTCGGTGCATCTGTTGGACCCTGATCATCTGCAGGAGTTGGTCAGCTTCGCAATCTGGCAGGTCACCCTTAACAACAAATATAGAATAACCTAAAACAAAAAGGCAAAAATCAACCTAAACAGCTAGTAAAGAGATTCAAAATTGATGTAAAATGCTAGTAAAGAGGCAGCACAGTACACTGGAAAAAAATACAAGCTGAGGATTCAGAAAGATTTTAGTTCAAATAATGATTCTCATACTTACTAGTAAAGTCATCTAGGATAAGTTAAAGTCTCTGAGCCTCACTTTCTCCATTGTAAGACTGGAATAGCCGTCTCACTGAGTGACTGTGCGAAGTAAATGTCTGTAAAGGGCCCTACTAATATAGCACTTGACTGAGCAGGCTACTCACTTACTGGTATGAGAGAGAGTAACGGAGTTGGTAAGAGCAACTGATTTAGAATCAGACTGCCTGCATCTGATCCCAGTTCTCCCACTTCCTAGCTGCATTTGTCTTGGTTTCTACTGTTAAACATCATGATACTGGTACCTTCCTGTGATGGTTAATATTATCAACTTGATTGGATTGAAGGCTACAAATTATTGTTTCTGGGTGTGTCTGTGAGGGTGTTTCCAAAAGAGATTAACATTTAAGCCAGTGAACTGGGAGAGGCAGACCCACCCTCAATCTGGGTGGTCACCATCTAATCAGCTGCCAGCTCGGCTAGAATAAATCAGGCAGAAATAAGAGTGTGGAAGGACCAGACTTGCTGAGCCTTCACCTTTCTCCCATGCTGGATGCTTCCTGCCCTCAAATATCAGACTCCAAGTTCTTCATCTTTTGGACTCTTGAACTTACACCAGTGGTTTGCCAGGGGCTCTTAGGCCTTTGGCCACAGACTGAAGGCTGCACTGTCAGCTTCCCTACTTTTGAGGTTTCAGGACTTGCACAGGCTTCCTGGTTCCTCAGCTTGCAGACAGCCTATTGTGGGACTTCACCTTGTGATCATATGAGTCAATATTCCTTAGTACATTACCCTTCATATATACATCTATCTTATTAGTTCTGTCCCCCTAGAGAACCCTGACTAATACACTCACAGGGCTGTTTTGAGGACACAGTCAGATAATGTGTGCAATAAATAGTAACATGGCTAAAACTAATCATCTATGGAAAGAGCTACCCCTACCCTGACCCACACATGTACACCCCTTGTAACTAAAAATAGGAGCTGGGAAGCCAAATACCTAAAAGCTATTTAAGGTGTCAAACGTGTGGTTTGCATCCCAAAAGAATTACATTAGTCTAGTGTGACTGTGTATAAATATGATTCCAGAAATCCAGGGTTTCCCCAAGCTAGATGCTACACACAAAAACTAAGGGTGGGCTATACCTAAAACAATCTAATTAATTTAAGTTTTTCTATTATTAATTATTATTATTTTGAGATGGAGTCTCACTCTGTCACCCAGGCTGAAGTGCAGTGGTGCAATCTCAGCTCATTGCAACCTCTGCCTCCCAGAAGGTTCAAGCGATTCTCCTGCCTCAGCCTCCTGAGTAGCTGGGATTACAGGCACCCGCCACCACGCCTGGTTAATGTTTGTATTTTTAGGAGAGACGGGGTTTCACCATGTTGGCCAGGCTGGTCTCAAACTCCTGACCTCAGGTGATCTGCCCACCTCAGCCTCCCAAAGTGCTGGGATTACAGGTGTGAGCCACCATGCCTAGCACATTTTTCTTAAACTCTGGTGTTTGTTATTGGATATCCTTTGTTAGAATTAACACATAATGGGACAAAGATTATAAGACCTATTTAATGGAGAACCTCAAAATAGTACAATGAACATTTTTTATGAGGACAACTGTATTCAGAGTTCAAATGGTTTAATGTGTTTTCTGCCAGTAAAACTGTTTCTATATCATACAATAAATATGCCAGCTCACCATGGTATTCTATGAAGAGTGTCTGAAGAATGGATACTCTGCCCTGTTCAGGGGTCATGGTAAAGATCTTGGGTTTTATTCAAGACTTCAGATTTTATTTTACTTTTCAATTTTTTTTTTTTTTTTTTTTTTGAGAGTCTTGTTCTGTCACCCAGGCTGGAGTGCAGTGGTATGATCTTGGCTCACTGTAACCTTTGCCTCCTGGGTTCAAGTGATTCTCCTATCTCAACCTCCCAAGTAGCTGGGACTACAGGTGCACAACATCACGCCCAGTTAATTTTTGTATTTTTTTGGTAGAGACAGGGTTTCACCATGTTGGCCAGGCTGGTCTCAAACTCCTGACCTCAAGTGATCTGCCCCTCATCCTCCCAAAGTGCTGGGATTACAGGCATGAGCCACCACGCTCAGCCTAAGATTTCAGATTTTATTCTAAGTGTGCTGGGAAGCCACTGAAAGACAAGGAGTGAGGGTGGGACATAACAGGCATTACACTGGTTAAGAAGCACTCTGAGCGGCTCTATCAGTATAATATATAGGAACCAGAGTACAAGAAGAGTCACCCTTATGGAAATGGAAAACCTGATAGATAGCATGGATAGAAAAAAAGTAAGTCTTTCATAGACATGTTCAGTTTGAAATGCTTTTTGGACTTCAAAGTGGAGATGCCAAAGCTAGGAGTTAGTCAAAGCTAGGTGTTCAGGGTAGATGTCAAGACTGAAGATAAAAGTTTGATAATTACTATCTTATTTAGAGATATACTTAAGATCCATGAAAGGGATCTGAAAGATGCAGGCAACAAGTTAGGAAAACCACAGCATGGTGGGCTGGAGGTCAAGGGCAGACAGGGTTTTTAAGAAGGGATATCATTAGGAACCAAGATTTTAACTATAAAAGAAAAAAGATACAAGTATCTAAAGTCAAAGAATTAAAAACTCTATATTCCTAAATGTGAATTCACAATAACTACATAACAAACCCAGTAGCAATAAGCATGCCAGCACTCAAATTGTGATCTCTAAATACCATTACTAAAAGATGGCTAGGCACAGTGGCTCATGCCTGTAATCCCAGCACTTCAGGAGGCCGAGGCAGGTAGATCACCTGAGGCCAGGAATTCGAGACCAACCTGGCCAATATGGTGAAACCCTGTCTCTACTAAAAATATAAAAATTAAAAAAAATTTAGCCAGGGGCCAGGCGCAGTGGCTCATGCCTGTAATCCCAGCACTTTGGGAGGCTGAGGTGGCAGATCACCTGAGGTCAGGAGTTTGAGACCAGCCTAACCAACATGGAGAAACCCCTTCCGTCTCTACTAAAAATACAAAATTAGCCAGGCGTGGTGGCTCATGCCTGTAAACCCAGCTACTCGAGAGGCTGAGGCAAGAGAATCACTTGAACTCGGGAGGCAGAAGTTGCAGTGAGCCGAGATCACGCCATTGCACTCCAGCCTGGGCAACAAAAGGGAAACTCCATCTCAAAAAAAAAAAAAAAAAAAAAATTATCCAGTCGTGGTGGCACGCACCTGTAATCCCAGCTACTCGGGAGGCTGAGGCAGAAGAATCGCTTGAACCCAGGAGGCAGAGTTCAAGAAAAGGAGAAGGCACACTAGAGACAATCCTAAGGAAAAAATAAAAATGGGGAGGCAGCTGGAGTTTCATGGAATTAAGAGAGGATTTTTCTTTTTAATCACTGGAGTTAAAAAGCTTATTTTTCTGCTTATAGGTAGATTACCAAAAAAAAAAAAAAAAAAAAAAAAAAAAAAGGGGGGAAACTGATTATACAAGAGAGTGGAGAGATGAAAGCAGGCACATCCCACAAGTGAGGGACTGGTCTTTGCTAGAGGTAGGGGACCATTCATCTATTTTAATAGTCTCAAAGCACAGGTGAAGATATAAGCAAATTGGTACACTTGCTGGTAGAAAGATAAGAACATAATTTTAATTGCTTCTATGTTCTCAGCAGAATGTAATGGAAGGCCATATGCAAGGTGTGTAAGGAAGGGAGAGGAAAGTGGTTAAAGGTTTGAAGACAGAAGCTGTGAAATCAGTCACCTTGGAAAGTGGCACATGATTTTTTATAAACATCTGGAGAGTGGCACATGATTTTTTATAAACATCCAGACAGTGGTACATGATTTTTTATAAACATCTTGGAGAGTGGTACAGGGATTTACTAAGAAAACATAGTAGAAATATCAGGCAGCACTAAAGGCTCATCTGAATTTTGTGATTATAATAAATTTAAAGTAAAACCTCAGCTAGGTGTGGTAGCACAAGCCTGTAGTCCCAGCTACTCAACAGGCTGAGGCAAGAGGATCACTTGAGCCCAGGAGTGTGGGGCTACAATGAGCTGTGATCATGTTGCTGCACTCCAGCCTGGGCTTCAGAGAGGCCTAGTCACTTTGATAGACAGACGGATGGGTGAATGGATGGATAGATCGTTTACGAAAAAAGTAAAACCAATCATCATGTTTTATGTTATTTTTTAGCCATATCCTGCTACTCTGGTACAGGAATGGACAAGGCCAAGATTTGGTTTTAACCAGGGTTGAGATTTTTGTCATTCAAGTATGGTGGAGGCAGAGAAGGGGGAAACAAGCTGAAGAATGCAATGGAGTGATTGTAACAATGGATTACAGAAAATAAGCAGGAGAAGAAAGGAAGAATGCATATAAAGGAAATGCTTGGGCCCCACGGTAGGGTTTAAAGAATGGCTGGAATAAAAAAAACAGACAAAACATGGTTTAAGGAAAGGAGGTGGTAGTTAAAGAGTAATACGCTTGCAATTGAGATTTGACAGTGGTTATGATCATTGGTAATAGCTAAGCAAGAGTGAGTGATTTTGAAACTAAGAAGCAGATACTGGATTACTGGATAGATGAGCAATACAGAAATCATTAAGAATGATAAAAGGAGTTGAAGTAGAGAAAAACGCAATGAGTCAGATCCTAAAATCACTGATGAAAAGAGACTTTTGGATGAGTGCAAAAGGGCCAGGGATAGTTTAATCTAGGGGCGTGTATTTCTTTTTTTTTTTTTTTGAGACGGAGTCTCACTCTGTTGCCCAGGCTGGAGGGCAGTGGCGCAATCTCAGCTCACTGCAAGATCCACCTCCCGGGTTCACACTATTCTCCTGCCTCAGTCTCCCATGTAGCTGGGACTACAGGTGTCCACCACCACAACTGGCTAATTTTTTGTTATTTTTAGTAGACACGGGGTTTCCCCATGTTAGCCAGGATGGTCTTGATCTCCTGACCTCGTGATCTGCCTGCCTCAGCCTCCCAAAGTGCTGGGATTACAGGCGAAAGCCACCACAACCGGCCCTTAGGGGCATGTATTTCAAAGAAACTAGAGTTTATAGGGAAGAACAGTGGCCTAGAAGAGGCAAAGAAGAAAAATGTCTATCCCTCCTCTCAGCCGTGTGGTATGTGATGTATAAAAGAAAAAACCATTACTTAGAAGGGCTGCAAAGAAAGCAGCATCCTCAGAAGAGGGAGGGCCAGGTGCCAGTGAGAATTCTAATGGAACAGCGTCACCCAAATCACAGCCTGTCACCATGTCAAACCTAAAGATTGTTTCACTGCCATTGCCAGAAAAACAGTATTGTCACGCTGTCATCTAATGCTCCTGTTTATTTAACTACTTCAAAAGATAACATTACAAAATTTTCAGCCTTTACTTACCTTCCTGTTGTAATTGAGCCAAGAAAAGTGCAAGATATGTATCTGATATTAATTCTGGACCCGTCAAGAGAGAATTCAAGTTAAACCACTGGAAAAAAATTGTCAATATTTAAGTTAGTGCATATTATAGGTAATAAAGTAGTTTTACATGTTAAGAATAGATATAACCCATCAAAGCTTAGTAAGATTGTTTAAACTCTGGAAATATTTCAAGTTGAGCTCTTTCCTCTGACTGAATAATATGATCTTAAAAGAGAATACTGCAGATTTATCACTATTACTTTTTTTTTTTTTTTTTTGAGAAGAATCTCACTCTGTCACCCAGGCTGGAGTGCAGTGGCATGACCTCAGATCACTGCAACCTCCTTCTCTCAGGTTCAAGCAATTCTCCTGCCTCAGCCTCCCAAGAAGCTGGGACCACAGGCCTGTGCCACCACACCCAGCTAATTTTTGTATAGAGACAGCACATTTGCCACACTGACCAGGCTGGTCTCAAACTCCTGACCTCAAATGATCTTCCTGCCTCGGCCTCCCAAAGTTCTGGGATTACAAACATGAGCCACTGCACCCGGCCTCTGTTAAATACTCTTTTTTTTTTTTTTTTTTTGAGACAGAGTCTTGCTCTGTTGCCCAGGCTGAAGTACAGTGGTGCAATCTCGGCTCACTGCAAGCTCCGCCTCCCAGGCTCACGCCATCCTCCTGCCTCAGCCTCCTGAGTAGCTAGGATGATATGCGCACACCGCCACACCCAGCTAATTTTTTGTATTTTTAGTAGAGACGGGGTTTCACCGTGTTAGCCAGGATGGTCTTAATCTCCTGACCTTGTGATCCACCCGCCTCGGCCTCCCAGAGTACTGGGATTACAGGCGTGAGCCACGGCACCCGGCCCTGTTAAATAGTGTTTTAAAAACAACACTTTGCTTTACACTATAAACATTAAACCCTCCCAAAAGAATAAAAATGGATAGTCCGTAGTTGAAATGTCTTTATTAATAGCTATAGTTAAATCTTTTTTCAAAGTATCAGTCCAACATAACTCTAATCGCATCTATCATACTGACGGGAGGAAAAATGACAACTATACAAAGTTTTTCCATTATGATAATTTTTGTCAAAGGATTCCAATTGTGAGAGAGTCAGAAGTTAAAGGAAGATAATTTATAATTACCAACTCAGTTTTTAAAAAATCACTAAATTAGGTGGGCATCGCAGCTCATACCTATAATCCGAGCACTTTGGGAAGCTAACATGGGAGGATCGCTTGAGCTCAGGAATTTGAGACCAGCCTGGGCAACATAGTGAGACCCTCTATAATTTAAAAATGTTTTTAAAAAACACCATCACATATAACATATAAACACATTTTTTTTTAAAGAGATGGTCATCTAGGCTGGAGTGCAGTGGTGCAATCATAACTCACTGCAGCCTTGAACACCTGGGCTTGATTCTCTCGCTTCATCCTCCCAAATAGCTGGGACTGCACCAAGATGCTTGACATATTTTCTAATTTTTTTTGTAGAAATGGGGGTCTCACACTATGTTGTACAGGCTGGTCTCAAACTCCTGGCCTCAAGACATCCTCCCACCTCAGTCTCCCTACGTGCTGGAATTACAGGTGTTAACCACTGCACTCGGCCCTAATTAACATCATTTATCACTACTACAAAGTAATCCTAATTTAACCCACAAGATACAAAAAGTGTTTAAAGTTACTGTCAATATCATGACCAACTATTTTCCTGGATTTTGACAATGTTAATACTTTTTCCAGCCTTCTTTTTTATTATACAGGGACCTCAGACAGAGTCTATAGTGAAAAATATAGTTTTAAACAAAAATATAAATTAGAACCAAAGAAAAGAAAATAAGCCAAAATTTGACATCTTCTGTATTTTTTTTTTTTTTTTAAAGATAGAGTTTCACTCTTATTGCTCAGGCTGGAGTGTAATGGCGTGATCTTGGCTCACTAAAACCTCTACCTCCCAGGTTCAAGCAATTCTCCTGCCTTCCAAATAGCTGGGATTACAGGCATGTGCGACCACACCCAGCTAATTTTGTATTTTTAGTAGAGACGGGGTTTCACCACGTTGGCAAAGCTGATCTTGAACTCCTGACCTCAGGTGATCCACCCATCTCAGCCTCCCAAAGTGCTGGGATTACAGGCATGAGCCATAGCGCCCGGCCAACATCTTCTGTATTTGTCAAAGATAATGTAATTCAAAATGTGAAAATTCAATTTTGAAGAACTAAAATTTTTTAAATCTGTCAAAATAAGATAGACATTTATTTGCAAATTAATATGAGGGTACTTCTGAAATCTAAGTCTACAGACCTTAAAAATTCAGTGCTTAATTTATACAGAAAAAGTAAAAAATACTGGATCATAATTTTTAAAAACACATAAATAAAACCCAGAGGTTAAATAATCTCAGCAGTACCCTACCGTGGTTTTTACCTAGAGGTGATTCCCACTCGCATCAGCCTCTACTGCTGTAAGTTGCACTTTTTTTATTTTTTTTTGGTAGAGACAAGGTTTCACTGTGTTGGTCCACGCCGGTCTCAAGCTCCTGGCCTCAGTGATCTCCCTGCCTCAGCTTCCCAAAGTGCTGGGATTACAGGCGTGAACCACTGCACCCAGCTAGCCTCCACTGTAAGCTTCTACATTACACCTCCTTAACTTGCTCTTGGCTCCTCAGGAAGAACTTTACTAAAGAACCAACTTAGGGCTGGGCATGGTGGCTCACACCTGTATTCCCAGCACTTTGAGAGGCAGAGATGGACGGATCACCTGAGATCAGGAGTTCAAGACCAGCCTGACCAACATGGAGAAACCCCGTCTCTGCTAAAAATACAAAAATTAGCTGGGTGTGGTGGCGCACACCTGTAGTCCCAGCTACTCGGGAGGCTGAGACAGGAAAATTGCTTGAACCCGGGTGGCGGAGGTTGCAGTGAGCCAAGACCCCGCCACTGCACTCCAGCCTGGGTGACAGAGCAAGAATCCATCAGAAAGAGAGAAAGAATGAACTAACTTAGGATGAAGCTAAGTAGGTGACTTTTCCCAAATTTGATTTGGGTGACTTAAAAGATAACAATAAGGTTTTTGTTTTTGAATTATCTCTTTTTTTTTTTTGAGACGGAGTCTTGCTCTGTCGCCTAGGCTGGAGTGCAGTGGCCGGATCTCAGCTCACTGTAAGCTCCGCCTCCCAGGTTCACGCCATTCTCCTGCCTCAGCCTCCCGAGTAGCTGGGACTACAGGCGCCCGCCACCTCGCCCGGCTAATTTTTTGTATTTTTAGTAGAGACGGGGTTTCACCGTGTTAGCCAGGATGGTCTCGATCTCCTGACCTCGTGATCCGCCCGTCTCGGCCTCCCAAAGTGCTGGGATTACAGGCTTGAGCCACCGCGCCCGGCTGAATTATCTCTTATAGATTTAATTCAATATACTTTGACAAATATTTTTTGGCTTTTATTTACTTTTTAAAAAAAAAAACAGCTTGGGCCGGGCGCACTGGCCCAAGCCTGTAATCCCAGCACTTTGGGAGGCCGAGACGGGCGGATTACGAGGTCAGGAGATCGAGACCATCCTGGCTAACAAGGTGAAACCCCGTCTCTACTAAAAAATACAAAAAACTAGCCGGGCGAGGTGGCGGGCGTCTGTAGTCCCAGCTACTCGGGAGGCTGAGGCAGGAGAATGGCGTAAACCCGGGAGGCGGAGCTTGCAGTGAGCTGAGATCCGGCCACTGCACTCCAGCCTGGGTGACAGAGCGAGACTCCGTCTCAAAAAAAAAAAAAAAAAAACAAACAGCTTTATTGGGGTATAAGTGATATATAATAAACCTCACATATTTAAAGTGTAAAATTTGAAACATTTTTTTTTTTTTTTTTTTGAGACAGGATCTCCTTCTGTCATCCAAGGTGGAATGCAGTAGTGCGATCATGACTCACTGCAGGCTTGACCTCTGGGCTCCCTCCTCAGCCTCCCTAGCACCTGGGACTACATGCATGTATCACCACGCCTAGCCAATTTTTCTTTTTTTTTTTTTTTCATTTTTTTGTAGAGATGGGGTCTTGTGACATTGCCCAGGCTGGTCCTGAACTCCTTGAGCTCAAGTGATCGTCCTGCCGTGGCATCCAAAAGTGCTGGGATTACAGACATGAGCCACTGCACCTGGCCTTTGAAATGTTTTGACATTTGTATACTGTACTCCCATGAAACCATTACTACAACCAACATTGTGACACATTAATCACTGCCACGTTTCCCACGCCTCTCTATGACCCTCCCCTCTCACTCTTCCTTAGCCTTCTCATCCCCAGGCAACCACTGGTGGATCTGCTTTTCATCACTACAGATGAATCTGCACTTTTCTACACTTTTAATAAATGCTACCATACAGCATGTAGTATTCTGTTTCTGGGTTATTCTTTCAGCATAATTATTTTGAGATTCATCCATGTTGCTGCATGTATCAGTAGTTTATTCTTTTTTACTGTGCTAGCTGGTTTTCAATAACCCTCTTTCAAAGATTCAAAATTCTAATAAAAAGGATGTTAAATGATTCTGTTTCTTAAAATAGCTTGCTCAAGACATATTTCATGTTTTATTTAACAAATAGAAGTAATCTTATGTAGATGTATGTATTACATGGCTTTTGGAATCATATGAATAATCTTACACTAAAGCAAGCATAATTGAATGCTTGATTCATGCTTGACACTATTTCAGGCTTTGTGACAGCACTATGCTAAATACAAATCTACAAATGTAGTAATTAACTGACAGAACATAGTCATCACATAAAAACCCACTTAAAAGTAACCACATGTGTATTATATTTAATATAGAATTCTTCTTTTTTTTTTTTTTTTTTTTTTTTGAGACGGAGTCTCGCTCTGTCGCCCAGGCTGGGGTGCAGTGGCCGGATCTCAGCTCACTGCAAGCTCCGCCTCCCAGGTTCACGCCATTCTCCTGCCTCAGCCTCCCGAGTAGCTGGGACTACAGGCGCCGCCACCACGCCCAGCTAATTTTTTGTATTTTTTAGAAGAGACGGGGTTTCACTGTGTTAGCCAGGATGGTCTTGATCTCCTGACCTCGTGATCCGCCCGTCTCGGCCTCCCAAAGTGCTGGGATTACAGGCTTGAGCCACCGCGCCCGGCTAGAATTCTTCTTATGATATAAATTGCATATACTTGTCACAAATAAATTTACAAAGAAAACTGATACGTTTTAAAATGACAAATTTCTATCTATCAAGATAGATAAACCATGCCACAAACACACACACTACTGGTCAGTTTCCAAATTTTAAAGTCATCAATCCTTTTGTTTTTTCTTTTTAATTTTTAAATTTTTTTTTCTTTTTATTTTTTATAAAACAGAGTCTTACTCTGTCACCCAGGCTGGGGTACAGTGGCACAATCATAGTTCACTGCAGCCTCAAACTCCTGAGCTTCAGTGATCCTCCTGCCTCAGCCTTCCAAGAAAGCTGGAATTACAGATGTGAGCTACCATACCTGGCTTTTTTTTTTTTTTTTAAGAGACAGGACCTCCCTTTGTTGCCCAGGCTAGTCTCAAAGTCCTGGCTTCAAGTGATCCCCCAACCTAAGCCTCCCAAACTGTTGGGATTACAGGCATGAGTCACTGCATCTGGCCCACATTTTAGTTTTAAATGGGGTACAATATAAGAAAAAAAGACAAGGAAGGGTAAGAAATGTTACCTGTTTTCCTAATTTTCTAACTGTAAACCAGTGTTCCTTATAATTGCATATAAATGATCTTTCATTTCTAAAAAAGAAAACACACAATATTAACTTGAAATATTGAATTCATATTTATGTTGTCTACTGGCAAACATTATATAAAATTTGTGATAATTTAAGATTATATTTACAGTTAAGTGTCACTGCTGTTTTTAAAAGATCACACAACCATATGAACGTCTCTGCAGCAGCTTAGTGATGCCGTGCCAAAAGATGGCCTCACGCACCACTTACAGGGCAGCTCTGTGCTGCCACAGACACTGGGGTGCCAGGAAGGCTACAGGGCAGATGCTCATGGACATCACAAAGGTGAAATAGGAAAGTCTGAGGGAATGAAACAGGGAACATCAAAACACAAGTATTCAAAATATATTTCTCTTCTTTAAGAAATATCTTTAAAAATCAAATTTGGGAAAAGAAATGTATGAAATGCAAAACAAAATCTTACATAGGATCGATCCTGAGCCTCTGATACTCTGGACTGTTGAACAGGATTAGTTCTAAACCCCAAACTTTCAAGGCATTGCTTATAACCTGTTAAGAAAAATAGTAACTTTTCATAAGCCAAACCACTCCATTCCAAATTAAGAAGTGTAGCTATGTCAGTTGTGTAAACACTTTAAGAAGTATAGCTATGTTTGTGTGTACCTCATATATAAATTTCTCCAGAAGGCTATAGGTTTTTTGGGGGGTTTTTTGTTTGTTTGTTTGTTTTTTGAGACAGAGTCTTGCTCTGTTGCCTAGGCTGGAATACAGTGGCATGATCTCGGCTCACTGCAACCTCTGCCTCCTGAGTTCAAGTGATTTTCCTACCTCAGGCTCCCGAGTAGCTGGGATTACAAGCATGCGCCACCACACCCAGCTAATTTTTGTAATTTTAGTAGAGACAGGTTTTCACCGCATTGGCCAGGCTGGTCTCAAACTCCTGACCTTGTGATCTGCCCGCCTCGGCCTCCCAAAGTACTGGGATTACAGGCATGAGTCACCACGCCCAGCCGGCTATAGGTTTTCAAAAGTGTGTGTGTGTATAGATGTATCACTAAATCCATAAAAAACATACACATATATATTAGAAGAGTGCTTTTCATACCAGGTCTCTGAGATGTTCCAGAAAACCACACAATTCCTACATAAAACTGCCTCAAAAATCCAGATGTATATTCTACCCATAAGTGCTATTCTTAAAACTAGTCTACTATATACATCTGATAATTTGGCTGCCGTGGGTGCTACTTTAGAAAATTTATATTCAACTTACTACTTGCAATGTCAGAAATCATGTCTATCAAAATAAGTTCTCCCTGGGCACTTAAACTGAAGTTTCCATAGATATCAGACTTCCAGGGTCATGGGCTTGCCACTTGTAGAAAAAAACAAAATGCAAACCTGATTATTTCAATCTGTCTGACAAAAGAAGGGAAATTTCTGAAAATTCACTATCTACCCTCCAAGGTAGCCAACAAAGAAGCAAGTCAGCCAGGTACCGGCAAAGACAGAAAATGAGTGCAAGGTAGTGGGCACCAAGAGCAGCAAGGCACAAATAGGAAACACCAAGTGCTAGGCCTACTTTGACCTCTGATTCCAGCCCTGCAGTAGCCATTACCTGTTAACAGTGGCACGGTAAAGCACTAGATGGAAATGCTGGTGGATGAGGAGGAGTCCAGGAGGGCAGTACAAGGGAAATACAAACAAAGGTATCTGCAGAGATAGGTCGCTCAGGAGAGGTTCTGAAAGACCTCTGGATACAACTCACAGTGTCAGAAAAGAATGAAAGACACGCAGATAAAAGAATCTTTCAAGTACATATATATAACCACCAAAGAACTCAAAGAGAAAAATCAAAAGCCACAGACCATAATAAGGAAATCCAGTCTGGTAGGCTGATTTAAAAGGATGGTAGCAAGATACTGCATTTTCTCAAATTTACCCAACAGATGGTAAGTTTGAGACATTGGGACTTATTATAATTAAGGGTATTTGGTTTTCTTTGAGACAGAGTCTTGCTCTGTCACCAGGCTGGAGTGCAGTGGTGCGATCTTGGCTCACTGCAACCTCTGACTCCCCAGTTCAAGTGATTCTCCTGCCTCAGTCTCCAGAGTAGCTGGGATTACAGGCTTGCATCACCACGCCCAGCTAATTTTTGTATTTTTAGTAGAGTCGGGGTTTCACCATGTTGGCCAGGATGGTCTTGATCTCCTGACCCTGAGATCCGCCCACCTTGCCCTCCCAAAGTGCTGGGATTACAGGTGTGAGCCACCACGCCTGGCCAAATTAAATAATCTTTCTCAAAAAGGAATTTTTAAATGCCCCACTCTAATATGAAGATTCTACAATCCTTTCATGTCTATCTATATAAAAATTTAGTACTCTAGTTGGCTGGGCATGGTAGCTCACGCCTGTAATCCCAGCACTTTGGGAGGCTAAGGCAGGTGGATCACAATCTCTAGTGATCTAGAGTATAATCTTATACTCTGTAGACATGATCTATTAGAAGAACTTCTGAAGGTCGCCTTGTTACAGTGACTATTGAAAGGCTGTGAAACGGGGCCTGGGATGTAAGCAACACATAGTAGATGCTTGTGACTACTTACCTGAATAGAGAAAAAACCACTGTCATCCATATTTCCAGAAGGCTGCTGTTAATTTTGACAGGTAGTTGAAGCAAGCGTGGGGGTGGGGAAAGAAGGATACAAACTGTCATTAGCGTGCATATTTAAAATAACATCTTTGCATTTCCATTTCCAAAGTTAACAGTGCAGTTATAATTCACCAGTCAGATCCCTATAGGAAGAATGGCACATCCTTTTCTAAATAGTATCCACGTTTTTAAAAGAAATGTAAGCCAGGTGTGGTGGCTCACACTTACAATCCCAGCACTTTGGGAGGCTGAGGCAGGTGGATCATGAGATCAGGAGTTCCAGACCAACCTGGCCAACATGGTGAAACCCTGTCTCTAACAAAGATACAAAAAATTAGCCAGGCATAGTGGCGTGTGCCTGTAATCCCAGCTACTTGGGAGGCTGAGGCAGGAGAATTGCTTGAACCCAGGAAGCGGAGGTTGCAGTGAGCTGAGATCGTGCCATTGCACTCCAGCCTGGACAACAGGGCAAGACTCCATCTCAAAAAAAGAAAGAAATGTGACTTAGTGAGTTTAACATCAGTACCTGTAAAAACGTGCGATAATCTTCACTAGTAACTCCTCCTTCTGCCATTCTCATCCTCTCCTCCTCATCCAGCTGATGTGCAATTGAGGATAATTCCACAGGGCTAAAATATTCTCCTTGCAATAAATTATTCAGGCAATGTTGAGCACAAAGTGAGCCTTCTTGCTAATATTTCCAAAAGAAAAAATTAAAATGTGACTTATTAAACAGAATTGCACAGTATTTTCCCCTAAATAATTTAATCATTAACTTTTCTTTCTTTTTTGAGACACAGTCTTGCTCTGTTGTCCAGGCTGGAGTACAGTGGAGCATTCTCGGCTCACCACAACCTCTGCCTCCCAGGTTCAAGCAATTCTCCTGCCTCAGCCGCTGGGACTACAGGCATGCACCACCATGCCCGGCTAATTTTTGTATTTTTAGTAGATACAGGGTTTCACTATGTTAGCCAGGCTGGTCTCGAACTCCTGATCTCGTGATCCCCCTGTCTCAGTCTCCCAAAGTGCTGGGATTACAGGTGTGAGCCATCGTGCCTGGCCAACTTTTTTTTTTTTTTTTTTTGAGACGGAGTCTTGCTCTGTCACCCAGGCTGGAGTGCAGCGGTACAATCTCAGCTTACTGCAAGCTCTGCCTCCCGGGTTCATGCCATTCTACTGCCTCAGCATCCCGAGTAGCTGGGACTACAGGCGCCCGCCACCACATACAGCTAATTTTTTGTATTTTTAGTAGCGATGGGGTTTCACCGTGTTGGCAAGGATGGTCTCGTTCTCCTGACCTCGTGATCCACCCGCTTAGGCCTCTCCAAGTGCTCAGATTACAGGTGTGAGTCACCGTGCCCGGCTCCAACTATTTTTTAACATAGTTGAACTGAACTTTCAGCTTTAGATAAGTATAATTAACATAGGTACATGCATTTTCATTTGTTAACATTTATTTTACAAATCTACCATTAATGAAACTACAATTACATGATCAAAAACTTAAGAATTATTTTAAACAAACATTATCGGCCGGGTGCGGTGGCTCACACCTGTAATCCTGGCACTCTGGGAGGCCAAGGCAGGCGGATCACGAGGTCAGGAGATCGAGACCATCGTGGCTAACACAGTGAAACCCCATCTCTACTAAAAAATACAAAAAATTAGCCGGGCGTAGTGGCGGGCACCTGTAGTCCTAGCTACTCGGGAGGCTGAGGCAGAAGAATGGCGTGAACTCGGGAGGCGGAGCCTGCAGTGAGCCAAGATCACACCACTGCACTCCAGCCTGGGCAACAGAGCAAGACTCTGTCTCAAAAAAAACCAAAAAACAAAAAACAAAAAAACATTATCATCTATCAAATGCATCAAATCTCATACTTTACTAAAAACTACTATATAAAACATTTAGTCTCCCTTATTTTCAGTACCTAAAATAAGTTCATTCTTGGAGATTCCACAGTAAATTACTAATGGTGAAAGGAAATTTTAGTCTCTAGAACAGTTATTTATTTATTTAAAAAATGAGATCTGACTATGTTGCCCAGGCTGGACTTGAACTCCAGGGCCCAAGGGATCTTCTTACCTCAGCCTCCCGAGCAGCTAGGACTACAGAAACGTGCCACTGTGCCCAGCTGCCTAGAACATTTATTCTTTTAACATAATGCCCGTCAAGCATGGTGGCTCACATCTGTAATCCCAGCAGTTTGGGAGGTCAAGGCGGGTGGATTGCTTGAGGCCAGGGGTTCGAGACGAGCCTGACCAATATGGCGAAACCCCGTCTCTACTAAAAATACAAAAATTAGCCAGCGTGATGGTGTGCACCTGTACACCTAGCTAATCGGGACTCCGAGGCATGAGAATCTCTTGAACCTAGGAAGTACAGCCTGCAGTGAGCCAAGACTATGCCACTGCCACTCCAGCCTTCTGTCTCCAAAAAAAAAAAAAAACCACAACACTCCACACAATCTAAATGATTGTTGATAGAATTTCAAATCTTAAGAATCAATACAAGTGAGAAAAATTCTGTTCCATGTTAAAACTTGCAGTTACAGAGCTGAAGTTCTCTTCATGGAACTCTACAGATAATGTACAAACAGTGTAATGCAATGAGCAGAACTGTCCCAAACAACCCCGGAGCTCACTCCTGGACAAGCCAGCAAAAGGGACTGCACCCAAGCTCAGCTCCCATGGGACGACAGGCTTCCTCCTTATGGGAGGTAGGTACAACCTCCCACAGGTTCAGGGCCTTCAAGTGCTGGGCAGTTTCTCACACAACTGGCAGCCTGAATCCAAGTCCAGGATGCCTGGTACCGAGTAACCTGTGTGTAATCCTCCTCCCCACAGCAGTAGCTTTCCCATGCTACCTGGTAAGGGAGAATCATGTACAGATGGATCCCTCCCTGTGAACACAGACACCAGGTTTGCCCCTTCCTGAAATGATAGCAGATGAGAGAACATTTCCTTCTCCTGCTAACCTTGGCCCTCCAAGTTCTCTCTTTCCCCAATAAGGTCTATTCCTTAACCCAACTTATCTGACATCATGCAATTTGTCCTGAGCTATGTTACACAGCAGACTCTAAAGAGAACCACCTTGCAAGATGGATTTTTTTCCTGATAAATCAATTTTCTAGGAACAAAATTCAGCTGGTGAAAAAAATATGGGTTACATGTGTATAATGGAATAGGAAGACGGCATTGAGACAGCCTGAGTCTGAGATAAGTTTATCCTCATCTTTTGGTAAGGAATAAGCAGCTTGGAGCCAGAGAGAACACTATCCCCCAAGTCTTCTCATGAAAAATAGACTTTTTGTTTCCACTTCTTTCTTCTTCTTCTGTATTTCTACTACCAGAGTGCAACTCTTACTGAATAATATGCAAATTGAAGGGATATACAGATGTTCTACTTATAACCTACTGAAAAACAGCCAAGGCTGGCTGCGGTGGCTCATGCCTGTAATCCCAGCATTTTGGGAGGCCAAGGCAGGAGGATTACTTGAGTCCAGAAGTTTGAGATCAGCCTGGGCAACACAGTGAAACCCCATTTCTACAAAAATTAAAAAATTAACTGAGCTTGGTGGTGTATGCTTGTAGTCCAGCTTCTTGGGAGGCTGACATAGGAGGATAACCTGAGCCCCAAAAAGGTTGAGGCTATAGTAAGCTGACATTGCACCACTACACTCCAGCCTGGATGACAGGGCAAGAACCTGTCTCAAAAAAAAAAAAAAAAAAAAAAAAAAAGAAAGAAAAGAAAAGAAAAGAAAAGGCAAGACAAACAAGCACTTCACAAGACAGTCAAATGGCTACAAAGAACACAAAAAAGGTACTCAACTTCATTAGTCATCAGGGAAATGTAAATTAAAACCACAATGTGTTATTACACAAACTCTAAAATGGCTAAAATGTTGGAGATCAGAGATATAGAAACTGTTGTATACCACTGGTGAGAGAGTAAATTGGTATAACCAATAATAACTAATAATTATGTAATGCATCTACTAAAGCTTAACATGTACATCTCCTATGATCTAGCAATTCCATTAGTAGGTACATAATGTAAACAACAGAAATGCAAACATATATTCATCAAAAGATGTGTATAAGAATGTTCACAAAAGCACTATTTTTGTGCTACAAATAGCATTACTATTTGTAGTAATACAAAATAGCATTACAGATAGCATTACTATTTGTAATGGTCCCTAAACTGGAAACGACCCAAATGGATAGCTGGGATCACAGCAGAATGGAAATTGTGTTTACTCACAAAGGAATACTACATAACAATGTGAATGAATTAACTACAACTACCTGGAACAGTATGGATAAATCTCTCAAACAATGGTAAACTAAAGAGGACAGAGTCAGAAGGGTATACACACTGTACGATTCCAGTCACAAAAGCTCAAAACTAGGCAAAACTCATTTATGATATCAGAATTCAGCATAGTGGTTATTTTTGGTGGGAGTGCCGTGGAGAGAGAGTACCTAGAAAAGGGAATAATGGGAGGTTATAGGATGCAGGTAAATCTTCTGTTACTTGCTGTTTACACATGTTCATTTTGTGAGAATTCACTGAGCCGTACTCTTAACGATTTGTGTGCTCCTCTCTATATGGTACCTAATTTTTTAAAAATTCAAACAGTAAGAAAAAAGCCTTTGCTAACACAAATTTCCTGTCCTGCTGTCAGTTTGGAGTTTACAAACTATGGTCACCATACTTAATATCACATATAGCAATAGCGACATCCAAATACTTGATTAAAATTATCTCTATAAAAAATAGCTTTAAATTATGAAAAATAAGTACTTGAAATCAAACTTCATCAAAGATACACTGTATTGCTACAGGAAATATCAAGTTCTGTACTTCTAATATGATTTAATGGAAGGAAAGGACAAACTGTTCAGTACCAATTTAAAAATGACTTAAGGCTAGGCACAGTGGTTCATACTGTAATCTCAACTGTTTGAGAGGCTGAGTGGGAGGATCACTTGAGCCCAGGAGTTCAAGGCTACAAGGAGCTACGATTGTGCCACTGTATTCTGGCCTGGGTGACAGAGCAACACCATGTCTCTCAAAAAGAAACAAAATAAATAAAAATAAAAATAAAAACAAAAATAAACATAACTTAAGGCATAGGACAGATCAAATTCCACACAGACCAAAAGAATTGTACAATGACAATGAGCCCACCTAAGATTATGCATTTTCCCGCCTTGCCCTTATCTCAAACTATCCCCAGTCATCTCTCTCATCAAGCTTTAATCAAAGCAGAAGTTCACTTTGCCATAATCAAAGTTCAGCAGTATTGAAATCTCATGATTTGGCTGGGCATGGTGGCTCATGCCCGTAATCCCAGCACTTTGGGAGGCCGAGGCAGGTAGGTCACTTGAGATCAGGAGTTCTAGACCAGCCTGGCCAACATGGTGAAACCCTGTCTCTTCTACAAATACAAAACTTAGCCAGGTGTGGTGGCAGGTGCCTGTAGTTCCAGGTACTCAGGAGGCTAAGGCAGGAGAATCACCTGAACCCAGGAGACAGAGGTTGCAGTGAGCTGAGATTGTACCACTGCACTCCAGCCTGGGTGACAGAGCGACACTCCACCTCAAAAAAATAAAAAATAGGCCGGGCATGGTAGCTCACGCTTATAATCCCGGCACTTTGGGAGGCTAAAGCAGGTGGATCACGAGGTCAAGAGATTGAGACCATCCTGGCCAATGTGGTGAAACCCTGTCTCTACTAAAAATACAAAAATCAGCTGGGTATGGTGGCACACGCCTATGGTCCCAGTTACTCGGGAGGCTGAGAGGAGAATCGCTTAAACCCAGGAGACGGAGGTTGCAATGAGCTGAGTTCACACCACTGCACTCCAGCCTGGTGACAGAGCAAGCCTCCATCTTAAAAAAGAAAAGAAAGGAATTTAAAATTTTTAAAAATAAAAGAAATCCTATGATTTTAGGCCCAGACTTCATTGTGTTGGGCTCAGAGAATTAGCACACTGCAGTTCTACAAAGATAATTTATAAAATCACAAGAGAACTGCTACCAAATCATTTATCCCCAACCTCTCCAGGTTTTCAAGACCAACCTAAAACTAGTTAAAATTATCACAGACACTACTAACTACAACACAAATCAGGTATAAACCTAAGGTGCTCTCAGGAATGGGCTATCTGGGGACAAGCTGTCAATCTAGCAGCATTCTCACCTCCTCTTAGTGCTCTCCGAGCCCTTACTATGAGGCTCAGCAAACACAAGCATCTGAGTAATGGCAATGGCCAGTACTTCTACAGCACTATCTGCCAGGGAGCCTTCTCTACCCTCTAACTCTGAGGTTATGTCTATGTTATTATCCCCACCACTACAGAGGAGGAAACCAGAGGACACGGATACTAAGTAACTTGCTCAGGATCACACAAGTAGTAAAAGGCAGAGCTGAGACTCAAACCCAGGCAGAGGTTTCAAAATCTGTGCCATTAGCACTTCAAGTCATTTATACAGAATTTGGCTTCTCCTGAAGCTCAAATATCCTAAAGACGGCTAAAATCCAGCAACCACAAAAGGGCATAATGAATGCCACAGAGTCAATATTCAGCATCTTTTCAATAACTTTATGTGCAACCCCAGCAAGTTTAGTTATTATTCCCAGTTTGCATTACATTAAAATCACCAATACAAATGGCACAGTGACTGCACCAAGAAACATCAGCAAAAGAAGTGATTTAAAAAAAAAAGACAGAAAGCAGGCACCAGAACTAAAACAAACAACAAAAATCCAGTAGTTAGTGGTCATAAAGTTAGTACAAAGGTTTAAGTTAGGGGTTGGCAAACTCTAGCCCATGGGCCAAATTTGACCTGCCCCGGTAGCTAAGAATGCACTTTACAGTTTTAGATGGTTGGGAAAAACATGCACAAATAAGAATGTGTGACAGAGACTACGGCTGGCCTGCAAAGCCTTAAAATGTTTACAGAAAAGTTGTTTACTTTAGATAAACAGCACCATATATATCTCAGAAACTCAAAGACCTCTCTTTATCCATTCAAATATATACATTTTTTTCTTTTGGGACAGGATCTTGCTCTGTCCCCCAGGCTGGAGTGCAGTAGTGTGACCTTGGCTCACTACAGCCTCGACCTCCCAGACTCATGCAATCCTCCCACCTCAGCCTCCCAAAGAGCTACGACTACAGGCGTGTGCTAACACACCCGGGCTAATTTTGTTCATTCTTTGTAGAGACAGGTCTCACTACGCTCAGCCCCATTCAAATATTTATTGAGTACTTACTCTGTGCCAGGCCCTATCTCAAGCACTGTAGATGTGTCAGTGAGAAACTGTTTTTACATTCCAACTTAATAAAGGGTACTCAAAGTGACAACTCAGAAAGAGGAAACCAAGGTTCCAAGAGGAAGTGGTTGCAAGGCCCTTTGTAGGCAGATATTCCCACCTACCCAGCTTCTCTAGGGCCAAAGTTGGTTCTCTGGCTCTCCAAACCCAGGACCTTGCAAGGGTTAAAGGTATATTGCAGAGGGGAAGGCGGTGAACTGAAAAATGGCACAGTAAGCCCAAACATTCCTAGAATGGACTGTATAGGAGATTAACAATGGGCCATATGGTTATAGATGCATACTCTTGAGTACGCCCAAAAAACTAAATTGTTGAATCTTCACTTGCTATGTACATACAAGTTAATGATAATGGTAAATACATTCCTGAAGTATCTGTAGGCCTATACACATGCTGATAATTCAGAGGGACTCTTTTTTTTTTTTCTTTTCTTTTCTTTTTTTAGACAGAGTCTCGCTTTGTTACCCAGACTGGAATGCAGTGGCGCGGTCTCAGCTCACTGCAACCTTTGCCTCTTGGGTTCAAGCTATTCTCCTGCCTCAGCCTCCTGAGTACCTGGGATTACAGGCACCTGCCACCACACCTGGCTAATTTTTTGTATTTTTAGTAGAGACGTGGTTTCACCATGTTGGCCAGGCTGGTCTCAAACTCCTGACCTTGTGATCCACCTACCTGGGCCTCCCAAAGCGCTGGTGTGAGCCACCGCACCCGGACTAAGAGGGACTTCTTTCGGGTAAGCAGATTTTCGCTAGGCTAGCACCCAGCTTTTATTGATCTCATGGTTCAGCAGAAATGCGTCCCAACTAGGTAACAATCAATATTGTTAAAAATCTTGTCTGATTCTCAGGAAGTAGTGTGGAACATGTTTAAGGCCTTCCATGTTGAAATCTGGTCCCACACCAAAGCCTTTGAAAATTAATAACAAAAATATGGCCAGGTGCAGTGGCTCACGCCTGTAATCCTGGCACTTTGGGAGGCCGAGGCGGGTGGATCGCCTGAGGTCAGGAGTTGGAGACCAGCCTGGCCAACAGGGTGAAACCCTGTCTCTACTAAAAATACAAAAATTAGCTGGGCGTGGTGGTGGGCACCTGTAATCTCAGCTACTAGGGAGACTGAGGCAGGAGAATAGCTTGAACAGGGAGGCAGAGGTTGCAGTGAGCCAGGATCGCGCCATTGCACTCTAGCCTGGGTGACAAGAGCAAAACTCGATCTCAAAAAAAAAATGTTTTTAAGAAAGTACATGTGTATTTTTTCACACACTTTACTCAGCCAAGCAACTAAATCTCTATTGTCTATGATTTATAAATCATGTCAATCAAGTCAAAAAATTAGTGACAACTATACGACTGAGGCCCCACTGTAAATCTGCCTATTTCAAAAGTTTCCGAGATGTTTTCTACAATGAAAAGCATTGTACTTAACAATTTGTTCCAGGCACAGTGGCTCACGCCTGTAATCACAGCACTTCGAGAGGCTGAGGTGGGAGAATCACCTGAGTCCAGGAGTTCTAGACCAGCCTGGGCAACACAGCGAGACCCCTGTCTCTCCAAAAACATTAGCTGGCCCTGGCGATATACACCTGTAGTCCCAGCTACTCTGGAGGCGGAGGAGGGAGGATCGCTTGTGCCTAGGGAGTCAAGGCTGCAGGGAGCCATGATCTCTCCACTGCACACCTGCCTGGGTGACAGAATGAGATGCCATCTTTAAAATAAAAATTAAAAAAAGATTTATACTACAGATTTACATCTGGTAAATGTATTCTTTTGTCTTTGCTTTATTTGTTGTGTGTGTGTGAATTTTAAATGTCTGGGATAAATAAAAATGTCTGTTTTATTAAGCATTTAATAAAACAAAAACTCTTTGCTCCTCCTATTAAATAATAGCCTTACCAGCAACTGTTTCCAAACACGATACTATTATAAAACAAGGTATCATGTGCCAAAGTTGTCCTGGGGAAGGCTTCACTCACATACAAATGGATGGATAACAGCATGTGAGAAACGAGGAGTTTCTCCACATGTCACAAACAGTATCTTCAAGTGCATGGTCACTGAAGAGTTAAAGTGACAGCAGGCTAGGCAGACCACAACAAAATCATTCCAGTCCACTCCTAATACCTAAAAACAAAGCTGGCTGCCTGCTCCGGAAAGATGGGAGTACCAAAAGAAACCAAACCCAAACATCCCGTAATAAAAACTCGTGAAGACTTCCCTGTTTAGGAGCACAACGGGTTTCCTACTTCACTTCCTAAGTGTCATGCCCTACAGTGGGCGAGCCAAGGTCTCCTCCCTCGGGAGGCTCGCGGACCTGGTGCAGGGGAAAAAACATGAACAAGACCCCAAAGATCTAAATGTAGGGAAGACTCCAATATAGAATTGAGCAGTCTGGAGAAAGAAAAGTTAATTCTGCCAGGAGTAGGGTAGGAGGGGTCGAGGGAGGTGTCCCAGAGGTGGCTGTAGCTAGACCCTAGGGAGAGGGAAGGACTGGGAAGGGGTGAAGGAATCCTCCGAAAAGCGATGGAAAGTGACTGAGAAAGGCAAAGGCAAACCCACTGGGCGCCACCGCGCTCCCGTGTCCCGAGACGCCCCCGGCCCCGCCCATACTCCCTCCCGGCTCCCAGGGCGGGGGCCGCGGGGGAAGTAGGGGCGTAGGTGATGCTCCCCTCCCCGAGCCGAAGAGGCGGGGGGCTGCGGCGTCGCCCCTAGCCCGGCGAGATCGGCATGGGGGCGACTCGGACCCCACCCAGCCCTCCAGGAGGCTGTGATGCCGCGCTCCACGCCCGCCACCGCGCGGCAGACAGCTCCCCACCGCACGCGGACACTCACTTTCTCGTGGAAGATGGACTCCATGTTTATTTGTCTGGAGCCAACGGCCCCCACGCCGAACCACCCCCTCCAGCTCCGCCCCCTGTCCCTCCCCTCCGCCCACCGCGCCCCTCCCTGGTCCCCCTGCCCACGTGCCGCACGCAGACCAATCACCCGCGAGGATGCGAGTCACGTGAAGCGAAGAGCGAGTGAACGCCGGGGACACGTGACTTTGGTAGCGCGTCCTCCTAGCTTCTGTTAGCGGGCCTTCTGGGGGATGCTACATCGCCACCTGCTGTCTGGAGGATCTTCTCCGCTTCCCAACCATTTCTATGGATTCTTAGGTTTCTGAGGGGAGGTCTGGACCACTCACCTGGGTTCGATACTCTTTTTGTTTTCCACTTTGTACTTTCTACTGTGTTCATATAACTATTTACTTTCTTTCTCCTCATCCTCCACTGAAAATTTAGTAAGAAAAAGCCATCATTACATTTTCCCAAAACCTAGCACTTGTATAAAAATGATAGCTAGGCCGGACGCAGTACCTCATGCCTGTAATCCCAGCACTTTGGGAGGCCGAGGCGGGCGAATCAACTGAGGTCGAGAGTTTGAGATCAGCCTGACCAACATGGAGAAACCCCGTCTCTACTAAAAATGCAAAATTAGCTGGGCGTGGTGGCGCATACCTCTAATCCCAGGTACTTGGGAGGCTGAGACAGGAGAATCGCTTGAACCCGGGAGGCGGAGGTTGCAGTGAGCCGAGATGGTGCCATTGCACTCTAGCCTGGACAACAAAAGCGAAACTCCGTCCCCAACCCCCCACCCCAAAAAAGGAAAAAAATGATAGTTAATATTTATATAAGGCTTTCTATGAGCTAGGCCCTTTTCTAAATGCTTTGCATATATTATCAAATTTAATACAGCAAACTTTGATGTAGGTGTTGATGTTATTCATACACATGAGGAAACCGAGGCACGGAGAGGTTAAGAACAGCACAGTGTCCAAGGTCAGATGGTAAGTTGCCTTGCCAGGATTCAAATCCAAGTGACTTGTTACCACTGTAGGTGTTCGGGCCCTTTAGAGGGAACTTAGAAGTCTCATAAATTGTGTGGGAAACGGGGAGGTAGCAGCGGCTTGATGAAGCTTGAATGGAAGGATAGGTGCAGATCTTGCACCTTGAAACCAGATTAAGGTGTACTTTTTTTTTTTTTTTTTCTTGAGCTGGACCTCTCTCTGTCCCCCAGGCTGGAGTGTAGTGGCACAATCTCCCCGCTCACTGCAACCTCCACTTCCTGGGTTCAAGTGATTCTCTTGCCTCAGCCTCCCAAGCAGCTGGGATTACTGGCACACATCACAACGTCCAACTATTTTTGTGTTCTTAGTAGAGAAGAGTTTCTACCATGTTGGCCAGGCTGGTCTGGAATCCCCAACCTCAGGTGATCCACCTGCCTTGGCCTCCCATAAGTCCTGGAATTACAGGCGTGAGCCACCGCACCTGGCCAAAGTGTACTTTTAAAAGGATGTGGGGAGCTATATAAATATTTTAAAAGAAGATACGTGGTCATGTTTGCATTTTAGAAAGATCACTGGCTGCAGAAAAAAAGCAGTTGCTGTTGAAGGAATCTTCGGAGAGATGATGGTGGTTTGGACTACAGTGGTGTCTTAAAGATGGAAATAGGCCATTCTGAGAGATTATTTGGACGTAAAGAGACTCAACAGAACGTGGTGATGATACGGCTTCGACCAGTGGAAGAATGCTAGGGTTTTCGTCTTGAGTCGAATTACAAAAAACGACATGGACAAACGTGGAGTGGTTTTAAGGAGCATAGAGTTTAATAGGCAAGAAGGAAGGGAGAAGAAAGAAAGAGGAAGGTCCCCTGTAGACACAGAGGGATGGGGGCTCCAAAGCCAAGAGAGGAGACCGGGAGAGTAGGGGAGATACCAGCCAATTATATGAGGAGGCTGCAGGAGGCGGTGTCTGATTTGCATAGGGCTCACGGGACTGGTTTGACCACGCATGTCATTAATGTAGCCCTCTAAAAAAACTGGCCCTCCCACCCTAGCTTTTTAATACGCAAATGCAGGGCGCCACGATGTTCTACACACGTGGGGATATGCAGGGGTGGCCATGTTGCCAGCACATGTGAGAGCAAGGGCAAGGGGACAATGGTGGGAATCGCCCTGTTGGTGGACCCAGTTTCTAACTGCCAGCATTTGCATATTAAAGGTTGCCAGCTTCGGTCTAAGAGCCAGGGCTTTCATGCTAGACCGGAAACATTTCTGGAACTGCTTCAAAAGAGACAAAAACTTTTTAAGGACCCCTTTTCCTCTCTATCTGCCTAAAATAATTTCTTAATTACGCCTACCACAGTGAGGGATTGGGGAACGCAGGAGACTGAAATGTGAAGGTGACTTCTGGGTTTGTGCCCTGGGCAGCCACTGTGACAGGAGTGATATTGAGAGCAGAAACAAGGGAGGAACAGCAAGGTTTTGGGAGGAGAATAAGATAGAGTTTACATTTTGGAGATACTGAATTTGAAATGTCTACGGACATTCAAGTAATTATGTTGAGTAATGGTTGGATACCAGGTCTGAAGTTCAGGAGGCTGCTTTGAACTCAATGAAGAATTGTCATTAAAAAAAAAGGTAACTAAGGCCGACGTGGTGGTGCACGCCTGTAATCCCAGCACTTTGGGAGGCTGAGGCAGGCAGATCTCTTGAGGCCAGGAGTTTGAGACCAGCCTGGCCAACATGGAGAAACCTCATCTCTACTAAAAATAGAAAACTTAGCTGGGCGTGGTGGCTCATGCCTGTAATCCCAGCTACTCAGGAGGCTGAGGCAGGAAAATTGCTTGAACCCGGGAGGTAGAGATTGCAGTGAGCCAAGATTGTGCCATTGCACTCCAGCCTGGACAACAGAGTGAGACTGTGTCTTTTAAAAAAAAAAAAAAAAAAAAAGGAACTGAAACCATAGGAATGAATAAAATCATTTTAGGGAAAAGGAAGTGCTTGAGAAGAGGGCTACAGCTGAGCCCTGAGGATAGAGAAGCAATAGCCAAGGAGGAGGAGGAAAAAGCAAGAAAGTGTGACATTGTGGAATGCCTGGGCAGGGGACACTTCAAGGGGTAGTCAGTTTCAGTTGCTGCCAGTAAGTCAAGCAATACAGAGACTTATAAGAGGCCACTAAATTTTGTTGCTATGGAGACAATTGGTGACTTTGGGGACTGCAGGTTCAGAGGAGCAGAGGGGGCAGTGAGACATAAGGGAATGGAGACTGCCAGAGAGGACCAGGTGCTGAAGGAGAGGATTCGGTACCATTTATTGAGCATCTCTGTGTGCACAGTTCACAGCCTTGTATGGGGGAAAGTCCATGTTCTCAAGGAATTGTGTGGCCTACCCAGGGAAATAAATCACAGTCTCATGAAGTGAAAAAAATTGCAAACCACCTTTTCTGTTTTTGTTTTGTTTTCTTTTAATTGTAGTTGATGTCTTTCAAATGAATTAATGAAGTCAAAGGTCTTAGTCCTTTTGGGGCGCTATAACAAGATATCTTAGAATAATTTATAAACAGAAATGTATTACACATCTGGAGGCTAGGAAGTTCAAGATCAAAGCTCTAGCAGATTTAGTGTCCGATGAGGGCCCATTCCTCATAGGTGGTGCCTTTTTTGTGTCCTCACATGGTGGAAGGGGAAAAGGGGCAAACAAGCTTCCTCTCTGTGTAAGGGCACTAATCCCAGTCACAAGACTTGACCTTACGATCTGATCCATCTCCCAAAGGCCCCACCTGTTAAACCAACACACTGGGGATTACATTTCAACAAATGAATTTTGGAAAGATACAAACATTCAGATTATAGCACCAAGTATCTGGGAATCATTTTTTTATTCTCTTCTCACAACTTCTCCACATCACCCCTTATTCCAGTCAGTCCTCAAATGCTACGAATCCACTCCTAACTCTCTCTCGCCCTTGTCTTCATTGCTACTACTTAGTTCAAGCCCTCTTGCTATCTTGTGTAGTCCAGTCCAAGGATCTTTGAATTGGTCTTCTGATTCCAGTCTCAATAGGTCTAATTCATGGTGCTGTCAGTGATCTTCCAAAAAAGCAAATCGTACAAGATTTTCTTTCGTTTAACAAGTATAACTGTGTATCAGGCCCTGGGACTATAACCATGAAAAAGACAGACAGTCCCACCTTCAGGGGACTTACATTGGCAGGGATTCTTAAATAATTACACAACTCTTACTTCAAAATCCTTCAGTGACGGCCGGGTGCAGTGGCTCATGCCTGTAATCCCAGCACTTTGGGAGGCCGAGGCAGGTGGATCACCTGAGGTCAAGAGTTCAAGACCAGCCTGGCCAACATGGTGAAACCCCATCTCTACTAAAAATACAAAAATTAGCTGGGCGTTGTGGTGGGCACCTGTAATCCCAGCTACTTGGGAGGCTAAGGCAGGAGAATTGCTTGAACCTGGGCAGCAGAGGTTGCAGTGAGACGAGATCGCACCAGTGCACCCCAGACTGGGCAACAAAGTGAGACTCTGCCTCAAAAAAAAAAAAAAAAAAAAAAATTATTCCTTCAGTGACTTCCTATTGCCATCCTATTGCTGGCCTGTAAAGCTCTGTGATCTGGATCAACCACCTGTCCTGTTCTGTTCTCCCCAGATTCTCTCTGCCCCAGTCATTCCAGACTCTAGTCATACTAGCTTCTTCCTTTTACTTCTGAAAAGTTCACTAAGGAAAAGTCTTTTGTGCCACCGCTACACCTTGAACATGCCTATGTTAAAGCACCATTACATCATACTGGAAGTATTACTTTATATATACTACTGAACTAGCAGCTTTTGAGGGGCAGAGGAATCTTACTTTTTTTTTTTTTTTTGAGACAGAGTCTTGCTCTGTCACCCAGGCTAGAGTGCAGTGGTACCATCTCGGCTCACTGCAACCTCCGCCTCCTGGGTTCAAGCCATTCTCCTGCCTCAGCCTCCCGAGTAGCTGGGACTATAGGCGCCCACCACCATGCCTGGCTAATTTTTTTGTATTTTTAGTAGAGAGTGGGTTTCACCATGTTAGCCAGGATGGTCTTGATCGCCTGACCTCATGATCCG